TGTCCGTACGGCGGGCCTGGTGACAACGAGATAAACCGTCGCCATTAGCCGGGATGCCGAATTCGCGAAAAATAAAGCAGCACGTTGCCCGTCGGGCGAAAGGGCCAACAAATGGCCGAACATACGTCCCGGCGATAGCTTGACAAATATATATTAAACTATTTTAATGAGAAGTGGCTGCCATATCTCATCGCAATTACCGGGCAGCGACCCGCCGGGGGCCGTGGCCGGCTTGCCGCTCCGCAGCAAAAACACGCACCCAAGGAGCAAAGGTTAAGTATACAGCTCGGTTCGCGAGTAGGTGTACAGCGTGGCGCGTGATGGAAACTGGATGAGGCCCGATTAGGAGAAAATTAATAAAAATACGAAAATTTGGAAAACCAAAGAAAAATCTGATCGACGAAAAAAATCAATCGGCATATTAAAAAAAGGATCCGATAAGATCGATACCTCGATGACGTATCTAAACGATCGATCGAACGAGTCGTACGGTCGTTGCACTTTTTCTTCATTCTCATCCTTCTCGTTATCCGACGTCACTTCCTTCTCCTTCGGACCTGTCTGCCTCGCGAGGGGTAAAGGATAGAGGGGGGGTGTCTAATATATACATTATAAATGATTAGAAGGACGCATCGGCGACTCATCGTTTTCAAGGGAAGAATTGCGAGAAGTTCGAGCGAAGTACCTCACGAGAAGGAAGCATAAGGGTTCATCGGGATATTTAAGGCATCTCTATAGAAAATCAACGTCAGGAAACTGGCCCCGGGTAACTCTCCTCTCTCGCGTTAACGGGACAGCGGATGAAAGAGATGGAGATAGAGAGACTGAGGGAGATCGAAAGAGAGAGAGAGAGAGAGAGAGAGACAGCAGAGGGTAACCTCTGACGGCCAACTCTCAGCCTCACGAGTGACTGACAGCTCTATAGAGTTCGTTGCGTTGGTAGCATTGTGCGGATTTACTCCTTCTTCCCTGCTGCAGCAACGTATTACCTCTTACCTCGTCTCTCCTCTCTCGCTCTCCTCTCGCCGTATCCACTTCGCAGACACGTTTTATATACACCCCATACGTCCCGTTATCACTGGTACCAACTATTTGATAAGGCACGCTTCGTTATCATGGAATCCTTGAATGGGCTTTGTCAAAGCGATACCGCCGCCACTGTCGTCACTGACGTCATCATCGGCTCCTATGCATGCATATGTCCACGTAAGGACGTTTCCCCCCGATCCCTTCCCCGTACTGGTGAATAATTTTACATGGGTTCAGGACACCCTGTTCTTGTCTCTCTTGCTCACTTTTTTCTCTCTTGGTCTTTTTCACTCTCTATCTCTCTTTCTCTCTCTCTCTCTCTCTCTCTCTGTTTGCTGCTTCTATGATTATTACCCAGCCACAAGCACGTCATATTTATTTATGCAAACGGTATACATATCCAGCTAATTGTGTGCCGTACGCACACCCGCGGTGACTCACTGGCCGTCCTCTTCGAGTCTTTTGCATGTCAATTTCCGTAACAAAGGAATCCTGATCCCCGAGGGACCCACCCACGAAACTTCCGGCCGCTTACGTATATATATATATAAAGACCTCGTTCCATGGCGATTGTGACACTTGGGATTCGGCAGCTTCTTCCTCGTACCAGTGAAAAATTACATTTATTTTCTGACTGCCCGACGATCGACCGGTATGACAACAAGTACAGGACAAGTCCCAGACGCATTTACTGACGATGATGTAAAAACTAGTCAAGCATCGTGAGACGGGTCGGTATTTGCCAAGGATAGCTTGCATAGTCCCGTGTATACGCTATGTATAGAATTTCTATCAGGTATAATACAGATACCAGGTGGTCCCGATTATCCTGCCAATCCTGCCGATCCAGATAGTCCTGAATAGTCGTATAAAATTCTACCTGAAGTTCAGCGTGACAGAGCGCATACGTCCATGTACGTACACACGCGTTACTAAAATGCGGTTCATCCTGCCGGGTTATCTCATTATGTCAACCTAATTGTAACTCGGCTGTACACGTGTGATCAGTAGGTAAGAACCTAACCTAAGCTCAGGAAAGATAATAGACTCTGATCTCAGCTGCCTCCTCCTCTTAGACTTCGGAATGAAGACCATCCTGGTCCCGAGAAAATGACTCTATCCACCTATAGGTGGTAGACTGTTTACCCAGCATCCTGGATAACGGTCCAAAGACCTACGAGCACTCTGAGCTCAGCTGGTTATATTAACCGATCCGATACCGGCAAGACTAGGTATATCCCTAGTCGGCCGTTTAACGAGCATGGATCTACGAGGGAGCTCAGGAGACACCTTAGAGACACGATCAAGACGAGGCGACGCTCGTGGGGAAGCGTAGACGACTGTCAAGTCCGTCAGAGAAGTCGGCGAGCCGGGAATGCCGAGGATGGCTTCTCTTCCCTGGCCAACAGCTCTATCTGTCGGGGGTCTGGGTCTCCGAGCAAAAAGTCCCGGTCCGCATGGTCGCACGCACTCGTCATGGAAACTCTAACTCGAGCGACGTGGGTCGGTCTCTTCGGGAGGAATAACGCTGTACCGACTATGGGAATTGCGTACAGGCATAGGACTTTACCGAGAGACCGTGAACGGTGTAAATATACAGCTTAAGGGATATATATTCGCGAGGATGGAATGTGGTTGGATGAAAACAAAGACGAAAACTTCCCAGAGAAAATTGTACGTTAATTAATCGTAAGGGAAGCCAAGAAGTTGGCAGTTATGAAGTGGATATGGCGGATTCGTGTGGACACCTGCGAAGACGAAGCACGACAAATTAAATGAGTCGGATGTACGCCGTTCGTGCGGATCGGCCAATGCGAATGCAAAAGAGTGCCGACGCGACGTTGCGACGAGCTGCGGCGTTACGACGCCCGTTCCTGCAATTATCTGCGTTGCTTTCTTCTTTTATATACTATATATATATATATATATATATATGCTCTTTGGCTGCCTCATCCTCCTACCGATCCAGCAGGGTCTCCTCGTTGCGGCACCTCCAACCCCTTACCCCCCACTTCACTTCTCGGCGTCGGCGTCGTAACGCCGAGCAACGAGTCCACCATATAAAAGTCGACATACCAGATGCTCCTCGCCAAGTCATCCGCGATTTACTGCGATAACTTTTGCAGCCGGACAATTTGTACCTGTTGGCTGGACCGCGTGTGTTGGCTAGCCAGCAGCAGGCGAGCATCAGGTCGACAGAAGAGAAGGAAGTCTCGGGGTCCTCGCTGTAGACGTGTACCAAGTTATGGGGACGACTTTTCAGACCATATAGTCATAGACAACAGTGGCATGGATAGTATACAGTTGGATTTTGAAATTTTTTTTTAATTTACCAAATTCGTTTTCCTATGTAAAGACTGTAAGACGGACGAGTTTTCTTGTACGGGTAAGTCCTGTGCGAGGGACTTTGAATTGTATTCCTTGCTCTGATTGAAATCGATATTCCATCCAAGGCCGAGCAGAAAGAAAAGCAGAGGAACAATGCGTCCTGTAGTATTTACACCGTAAAGGAATATACATATAGGAAGAGTAGTGTAGTAAGTAGTAAGTAAACCCGCTCGCAGGATATAGGTACAGTATGTAATACCACTGCTCGGAGGCTTAGAGCTTCTTCTCTGTTATGTTGGTAGCTTGTGAGGCCCCTTAACGAGCTACGGGAGTAACCAGCTTGGGATATGAGTCCCCGTATAATCATTAGGAATAACAGGGCAATGGGTATATATCACTGGAGAATCATTTCTGTACAGACTGTACTAAGGAGTGATTATCAACAAATGGGCCTTAAAGTGGAAGTCTTCTCTAAAAGTAGTCCCAGTAAAAATCAGGATCATTTGACAAGTGAGTGGGGGGGGGGTCGAGGTATGATAGGGAGGGGGGATGAAAAGGTGCTGAAAGAAAAGGACTAAAGGGTTGGGAAAGAGAAGTGACGAAGAAAAGGGAGAAAGAGAGAAGAGAGAGTGAGAAACAGCGGTAGAGGCAGACTCGCTCGTGAATGAAGAAGAAGGGGGCCCCGGAGCAGATTCGAATTAGCTGGCCAGATCAGCACCGATACTGCGCGGCAGTAATTCATTAGCATGATTGTTCGGGTGGGGGCGTCCATCCCTCTCTACCAGCTCCCCTATCACTCTCTTTCACTCGCTCCCTCTGTCTCTCACTCTCAAGCGTGCCAGAGTCGAGAGTGAGAGAGATACGTGGATCGGGCCCTTACCCGCGTACCCCGTAAGGCCCAACTAACGGGCGCAGTGCTTCTTCAAGGTGGCAACAGTGTTGGCGGGAAAGTTATTCGAGCGACTGGCCCTAAATCATTCCTTGCAGACTCTTGCTTTATTATCTCGTGTCTCCTCTCCTCTGGCTAACAGGGGGCGCAACGTGTAACTCATTTTTCCGGTCCCCTTCTTTGGGCCTTTTGTAGGGTCCGCATTATATCCGATACCTTAATTCGTTCAGTATCACAAATTTTCACCTCCATCTATATCCACCACTGATGGAGGTTACGGTTAAGGATGCAATAAAAACAAATGAATTTTTTTTAAATTTGACTTGAAATGTGTGCCGAGTATGCTTGAACCACCTCCATATGTAATCTAGTGGTACCCACTGTGTCTTTAAAGGAGGTGGCGATGCTCTGCCACATAAATAACGAGTGCTGGAAGCTCGAGGCGTCCATCACCGCCCCCACGTCCGTCGGAGGGTCCGTCCGTGCGTCGGTCGGCGCGTCCAAGTCCGGTCCACCTCCGAAGTGAAAGAAGGGACCGTACCTCCTCGCAAATTAGTCACTGCGCGTATTATGAATGGGCACTGCCGGCCGTCCGCGAGTATCCCGTTTCAGGAACATCGAGCGAGATTAAACAAAGCCCCAGCATCCCCCCAGCTACGCGACCACCTTATATCTGTTGCACAGCCACGTACCTACGGGGGCGTTAAATGATCTTCGATATCTCATCAGTTATCTTATTTATTCCTCTTTGCAGGTGCAAGCTACGGATCCCGACTGCGGCGTCAACGCTTTGGTGAATTACACCCTGGCAGCCGGTAGACCAGCCAGCGAGCAACTTCTGGTGCGAAGCGACACTGGCGACATCTGCGTCCGTTCACCGTTGGACAGAGAAACAGCCCCTTATCTGGAACTACCCGTTATCGCCACGGACAGAGGTAAGTCCCACGTAGGTACAGGAGACACCCTGTATCCTCTACCACTTAAGGGATGAACCAGCTGTATAAGTCCCAACCAACAGCATCTCGGACAAGTAAATAACCCATAAAAATGAAGGACGGTTCATCGCGTTAACAATGCGCCGGGAGTTAGGGACTTGGAGAGTATATACGTACATATAGAATAGGGAGTTAAGTATAGCAAAAGGATCCTATAGTCTGTGCGGTATAAGTACCTAGAGCAGTGCTGCGGACGAGCGAGACAGAGCGAGGGAGAAGGTGGCTGCGGAGGGCTGAAGATGACTGGGAGGACTGGCTGGTAGGTAGTGGAGGTGGCTATCGCCATGCCAAGATCTAGTAGCTCTATAATAGGCTGTATGATTTATGTTGCGAGTATTCCGTGCCCATTTTCAACAGGCTCCTTGCTGCCCTTATGGGAAGGACAATGACTGAGGTCCATTGATCCATGGTATAAGTAAGGGAAGTAGCTCCCTTCTCTGTCTTCCTATAGTTCACCGTTCCCTTTTCCCTTCCCTCTCCTATCTCTTTGTCTCTCTCTCTCTGGCAATCGGTAGGTTACTCTGTCCTTTGGGTACTAACTGGCTAATGGGTATAGGACGCCTATAGGCGCACGACCCTTAGCCGCAGCGAATGAGCTTCTCCGAGAGAGCCGACGACCACGCAGCCTACCCATTGTCGCTGGCTTTATGCCGTTTTGCAAACAAGCCTTTCCGTAATTGTCGCTCGTTATCGATACGATTGTCCGTTGGTTCTATCCATATGTTAACAATAGACTCCCACACGATTGGAACTTATCATTGAGTTTATTTAGCGGTAGTAAAACATTTTCCCGTTTGGCGGCTCTAAATCGCTTTCGATGTAACTACATAACCTATAAAGGTTACCGGCGGTAGTACGGTGTTACGTGTGACTGAAGTTATCATATGTAGAGTTCTCGTCGTGACCAGGGATATATAACGACCGCGTGGCTCTATCTCATCTAATTATTCTCACGAATAGGCACGGACGTGACCGACTTAGAATTGAAATATGGTGCTCGATGCCCCGCGGTGTGAATGCCGCATTATCTTTTCGAGCTCTTCAGAAATAATTTACTTCCAGGAAGTAAAAGTGCATCGGGCGCATCCTAAATGGATGCGATTCTACGAAAAGTTTAGGCTCGATCGTTGAGCTTGCTTTTCATCAGGGTGCATCAATGCGCTAATATGCTTGTATGACTACCTTTATACGGCCCTGGACCGAAACACGCTTATCCAGGTCTAAATCTTTGGAGGACGTTCCGTCTCGGTTGGTAAAGGATCAAGTCGAGAAGAGAGAAAGAGACGAGAGGATTCTTTGGATAAAAAGGGAGTGGATGATAGGTTAGACCAGGAGAGCCGGTGGTGCCGTAGAGGAGGAGCTGAAGGAGGAGGAAAACGTGGATGAGGACGAGAGAGAGTACACTTGGTGATGAGGGGGAAGAACGTAGAGAGAGAGAGAGAGAGAGAGAGAGAGAGAGAGAGAGAGCGAGAGAGAGAGGGAGAGAGAGAGAGAGAGAGAGAGAGAGAATACCATCCGACGGCACTCGAGGTGACTTTATTGACACCGGCACCATAAATCTTCAAGCCTAACTCCCACCGACAGTTCTCCTCGTATGCGCCGTGCGATCCCCAACCGACCACTTTCATCCGGATCCCGATACTTTGAGAACCCCTGACCATCTTTACGGGGGGACAGCAACCCCATAAATCTCCCCTGACTCTTTCATATCCTCTAGTACCAGATTCTTAAAGTCCTTCTTTCCCTTTCTATCCTGTTCACATGGAAATTCCATCGGCAATCGAAACTTCCCTAAACCACCCTTTCTGGTCCACCCCTTATGGAAGATCTATAGGATGATATATGTTATGTAACGTACGAAGGAAAAAAAAAAGAAAAAAAATCAAGCAAGTTTACTCTCCTTCTCGAAGAAGAGGAAGTGGAGGAGGATGACTATGAAGAAGAAGAAGAAGAGGCATGGTAGCGGCGCTGAATGCGAGAAGATGTAGAAAGCCAAAGGCGATGAGGAGGATGAGGAGGATCTGGAGGATGAGGCCGGTTCTTGACGCATGACTCCAATGACACTCGTACCTATAAATCTCCACGTGGTGTCGGGGCAGCGCAGTGCTGCGCAGAGCGCAGTCCATACATTACTATGAGTTACGAGTGTAAACCGTTTAAACATCGGATTACCCCTTTTACATACTGTCTTTAATATTAACACTTGCGTTAAGTCCACTCACGGAGTCGGCACAAAGTGAAAATCCACAAGACTGACTTCTTCCCCCCGTATAGAAAACTTATCCAAGCGTTGGATCTTTAGCCGGGAATAAAGGGAACGGGTGTAGGGAAAGGTTAGAAAAGAAAGAAAGAAAAAAAAAAGTGTCCGCCACGAAAAGAACAGAGCACAGGGTTCGACGTTTCGCCAAGTCCATTACCCGAATCGGAGGTGGGCAGACATCCCGTGAGCGGACGAGTATCGGCTACAATTTTTTACTTGAAATATTACACCGAGTATATTAACTTACGCGGGGGTTGGTGAGTTCGCCGACAGAGGGAGAGGCAGCTGATTGGCTGAGAAAAAAGGCCCGTGAACGAGGCACCCGTGCTGTGATTTATGTCGAGCGGCTTGCGGCGACCTCGTAGATTCATTTTCTATAGTTAATTCTGCCATTACGTTTGATACGGAGATAAAGACCATTTTTGACCGACACCCCTGCAGCCACCTCTCGAACTTGATGAAGTTTTAATGAAAATGAAAAGAAAAATGTATATTTCCCTTTAATACCTCGTTCTTTTGATTACAGGAGGACTCAGTACCACAGCCATAGTCCGAATTCAGGTGACGGACGTCAACGACAACCGACCTGTTTTCTCGCCCGATCGCTACAACGTGACGTTGAGACACGACAGCAGCATCAATGGTGCCATTCTGCGTCTGGTAGCGACGGATATGGACGCGGGTCTCTTTGGCCAGGTCGCCTACAGGATATCCGGCGGAAACGAAGCAGGGGTCTTCAGGATAGACAGGAGTAACGGCGAACTCCACGTGTCGCGGCTGAGCTTGCTGTCCAGATCAACGACGCACCATCTCAACGTGACAGCTACCGATGCTGCCGGCCTGAAGAGCATCAGGGACGCTGAGGTCAAGATCTTTGTCTCGTCGTCGACCAACAGACTCGTCTCCTGCGAGAGAGCTAGATACACCTTGACAGTGAAGGAGAGCATCGCCCAGAACAGCGTCATAGCCAGTATCAAGGGTGCGTCCACGGCTCCTATCGAAACTGGTAAGTAGTACCAACCTGAAGTGGTAGATTAAGATACTTGAAGAGAGGTCGAAGTATTATCTTCTCGCGTCACTGATCTCATACCTGGACCATAGCCACTTGCTATTTGCTACCTGATACCACAGCTACTTGCAAGACTGCTGCTACCAACCTGCAAATCTTAGAAAACTTATTCCACGTCTTCAGGAGCGGTCCAGTCGCGTTAGCATAGTCACGTCACGAGAGAGCTTATACTTGCCTCTTCCTATCTCTCGGATGCTGTATACGTAGTCAGGGTGTACCTCAGTCTCAGGTAAACACGGACTCCTTTCGACTAGGCATATATCCCGTACCCGTATACCTATTCTCAATTCTCCTTCTCTTTTTTGTCTTTATCCTTTTTTATCCTCTCTACCATTTTACCTTTCTACCTTTCACGAGCGATAAACCGATGCCATGTAAATCATCCTTGGAGATCTATTCAAACGCGATGCCACCGGCGCGCACGTCGCGCACCACGACCGAGGACAACTCTTACGACGTGTATCACGAGCGTCGAAACTTCTTAAGAGACTGGAGCAAGGAGGACAGCGGGTGTAGGTGTACCGGGCGAAGGGGAAGAATGAATAAGAGGCTTAAGGAGCAAAGAGAAGAAAAGAGTGGTGGAGTCGGTTGGCGAAAGAAGGGAAGAAATAGGATTTGAGAGAATGGTCGGCTGGGCGAAGGGGGGAGGTGATGAGGTGGTACGATGGGTTCGGTGGGTGGATTTCTGGCTCGGGTAGGAGGCAGGTACGTATCCGTGTCTCCACACTGGAGGTACATCCGATGCAAGATACGGCGCGTCACGACCTGGACTCTCGGCGCTATAGTCAATATAGGCGTGCAAAGTACGCGCGGCTCCGGATAGCCTCGCGATGTTCGCGTTATAGGATACTTCGCCATTGGTAGTTTACACTGTAGGACCGATGGTGGTTTACTGGCGCGGTGGTCTTACCATGGGGTACCACCGTGGTATTGTTCGTAGGATGCTGGTCCGCTTGGCCCGCATATCCAGCCTCTTGCATATCAATGCCGTCTCTCTTGGCTCGGCGAGTTCCCGACGCCGTCCGACGCTCCCCGACGCTCAAATCCTTTTACAGATATTTCGCCTCCTCCATTCTATTATATTTGAATTTCATACTCCCCTTGTGATTTATTATCTATTTATAGCTCTGTCCGTATGGTTAAGGAACGAGGTTTCTTCGATGCGGTATATAAGGACGGTTATTACGTAGGTATTGAGGACCATGGCTATTGGTTCGATACCGATATCCGATATGTGGTTAATGCAGGGCAAAAACCTGTTCAGCCGGGACAGGGACGTGCGTGGCGCTCGCGTTCGTAATATTTGACACACGGCAGCCAATCAGATTATCAGATTAAGTCGCAGTGGGCAGGAGCAATCGAGTAGGGTTCCTCCGGTGTCCTCTGGTGGACCCGGTCCGACCGTGGTAACTGTATACGAGGACGAAAGGCGTGGAAGAGGAGGACGAAGAAGGAGACGTGGAAGAAGAAGAAGAAGAGTGTCGGGGACTTGCTACCATTTTACGACACCTGTTTCGATAAAGCGAAACACCGTTTTACCGGGTTTTTATACAGTACCGGATCGAGGGGGGGACGATGAATTTTATCATTATAACGTCGGGGCGCCTTGATGGCGAACTTCTCTTTTTACTATTTAGTTCTCTCTTTTACCAGTTCCCACCTTTCTCTTCCTTCTCCTCTCTAACTTCTTTGCATAAAATCCAATGACAAAGTGAGGATGCGTTTACTGCCTGCTTTATGACGTCCCCAGTCAGTGATCCTAGACGCTATATACTCTTATCTTATCTCTTCACTGACCCACCGACCAACCCATGGACCATGTTACTATTCGAACCAAGATGGAAGTGGGTCGCACTAATAACGATACGATTCGGACTAATCTAAAGAGCAGGATGGATCCGAATCCCAATTCAGGAATCTCTGGGTACCGCCCAGCTTCTTTGCTGTTTCCGATTGTGAGAGAAGGAGGATTCACTGAGGGACAGATATTTTTACCTTGATTTCCTGAAAACTAACCTAACCTACTATCCGGTAGTCACGACCTGCCGATACCGTTATAATTGATTAGACTTTAGGTCCAGACGTCCCTTCGAAGACTCATCCGAAGTGGGCAAGGGTCTGTACGCGTTGCCTATGGGAAGCTGGTTCAGTGTTCCAGTCCCTGGGCCCAGGACGGGAACGACCAAGGGAAGCGGGGTAGGGAAGAAAGATAAAGAAAGAACTAGGACTGTCCCAGAGCCGCATAAATCGTCGCGAGTCGGATTCCGGGCAGCCGAACGCAAGCCGCCATTGTCCGTAACTTTTTGTCCCTTGACTCTGGACTCTTTGCATATGCTTTAAATATCGCCGCTTCGCTCGCTTTGAACCTTGCAAGGTGTACCTGGACAAGGTTCGGCTATGTTCACTACCTGGACTAGGTACAGGGAGTTCAAACGTTTCAGGGATTCGATTCAGCGTTTAGAAGAGTAACAACAAAGTATCCATATCAGTACCGTTCGCTCTTGGTACGATGATAACGGTCCTCGCGCGAACTCCAGCCTAATCCCTGAAATTCATATATGCGAATTCCTGCCTTATACCGTCTCTTACGAAGCTTCGTGACGCTCCCTGTACCGATCTTCAGATCTACCGATCTCCCCTCGCTTTCACCGGACTTGCAAATTTCGTCGTTGCATCAACGCAACCAGGTACACAACCAGGTAGCTCAGCCACTGAACATCCGCGACTCCCAGAAGATCCCCATTAGATAGGAACCACGTCGCTGCTTCCAGCTGGTCCGGAGAACGAGAAGAGTCTCTTTCGACTGAGGCTTTTTTTTTCGTATTCAGGAATTTCATTCTTATCAACCCCACTGATAGTATCGATTTGAAAAATATGAATGATCGTCCGGTTCCTCTTAAATCGGGATTCCCAGCTTGGTGAACGCATCCAATAAATCAGACCCCAGTGCGCATGCGCCTCAGCCTCGACCGGCATCGTTCACCGGAAACTCTCGACTCGGATCTTCCATCTCGTATCCAGAGGCGTGTGTACGATAGAATAACTTTGATGGATGGTGGTTATACGCAATGATCGACCTGGTGCGAAAGATCATCTCTATTATCATGCTGGTCTAAGAAGGATCAACGGAGGCTGAGACGGAGGTGGATCCTGAGGATGGTAAGAAGGTGCGGATCGGTACGGCTTGTTGGAATCCACAGATGATCCAGAGATACATCTACGTACCATCCCATGCATTGGTACCGTCCAATCCCAAGGTACCCAAGACCCGACGAAACCAAAAAACGTAGGTCAGAAATTCCGAAAGCCACGAAGACCTCAAAGGTACAGGGAACAATTTGCGAGAGAGATCTCTGATCGTTTCCAATGGATCTTCGGTACCGTTGAATACGCAGACCGAAAGAAACGTCCGATCGATCAGTCGATCGGTCGATCGGCATTGTCCGTATAGGAAATCTTGTAGGCAACTGCCGATAGCTCTGCAGGCCATCGAGTCTATCTCATTCTCACAGCATCCTAAGAACTTTTGTCTTTCATTCTCGCGTGGGGCAGCCGATGATGCCTCTTATCTTGTACCTCCTTATCAGACTTTCCGATCTGCGCTATGAGCATTAACCACGTGAAGGTTACTCGGGCCCCCATTTCCTTTCGCGGATACCTGGACAGACCTGGAGGTTAACCGTAAATAGCTTTCTAATTGCTGGCTGTTTGTCCAGGATCTCTGCGTATTGAGATATTCATCCCTCTTCCTGGTCCAGGGATTCTTTACGCGGACGCAAGAAGACGAACGCATCCAACTTCTTGGGATCTATCTGTATACCAGATAGAAGATATTTCCTGGATCCATCCCAACCTATCCTGACTCTTATCTTTCTCCAGGATAGCTTATCTCAAGCGCCTTGTACCAACGTCTCATTGTAAACTCGTCCGACTGGCTGCAGTTCCTCTTTCATTGTTGACCACAGTAACCCTGAGGATGCTGCGGGAAAGAATTTTCGGTCGACGCTATCTCGAATACTTGTTATCCTTGTGCGTGTGTTATCCTATCAAGGAAATATCACTAAGTAATGTCCCAGCAGTACCTGCTACGAAGGGTATGCCACGGGCCGTCAATATAGCCGTAAACGGAGTGACTGGGAATTGCTGCGGGAGGGAACGAGAGATGCGGATGGTGGTTGAGAGGGATGCTGTGGTCGATAGCGGGGAGTAGAAAGAGAAGGAAGACGAAGGGCAGGACGAGTGGGACCCCCGTCAGCGGCAGCGTGCCTTTACCGCGGTATCACTTCTTCATCGCATTCGTCGCGTCGCTCGAACGCTGGCTCGACGCTGGCTCGAAGCTCCCGCTAATCATCATTATTTAATTACCAGATAGTTTTTCGAAGAGGGCAAAGTGTCGCTGGCAAACGAAGTAACGCATCGCGCGTAAAGGGCATCGCGTTGTCATTCGATTCTTTGGAATTTTTTTATTTCAAAATTTTATTTTCTTCGTTTTCACAAAAAAAAAAAAAAAAAAAAATTTTTCTTCGCAAAACCATTCCAACGTCCCGACCGCGCGCAGAACACTGTCCTCCGAGACATTCTACCAGGTTCAATTAAAATCGCAGGTTTATGCAAATCCCTGGGAGGGTTTATTTGTCGCGTTAAAAAAAAAAAGTAACCCAAAGAGACTCCAACGACGTTTCTGAACTCACGCGGTATTTACTGCATCGAACTCCTGACAAATCCCAATATTTAGCAGGGGTCCCGTACAATTTGGCAAGTTAGGTTCTTCTTCTCGATTCACTAACGCGACCGACAAACTCGTACATTGTCGAAGGAATTGCCACAGCGGTACCCGGGACACGTTGGTCCCTGTGGTATCAGACCTGCTGCCAGTTCTTACTACGGTAAAGTTACTGCCGGTTTATATCCACCCTAGGATTTACCATGAGAAAGTTGGTAATCGAATCGGGTTCTCTTTTACGACTTCGTAGCTCGTCCAATGAGTATGTGACCTCAGGAGCACGCAACCGTTACGTGTTAATTAGCAAAATAAAAGGATTAACGTGCGAGCAGTCGAGTGAGAAACATAATAAAAAAAAAAAGACACGATCAGAAATGCAAGCTGATAGACAGTCTTAAAGCTACATGACTTTTCCAACTCCACAGTTGGTACAGCTTCGACCCTCAGCCGCTACAAGTTCTGACCCGGCTGTGTATGACATATAGCTCATATCTCTCCATGAAATCCAAGGGAAAAAAATTTCCAGCTAGTATACAGTACCAGCAAGTTGTAGCTCCTGATTGTTGCAGGAAGGTTCGAGAGGGG